CTTTCTTTTTTTCTCTCTCTCTCTCTCTCTCTCTCTTTCTGTAATCATTATTTAATTTCCTTTGTTTTTTCCTCCTTTCTTTCTTCCTGCCTTTTTTTTCTGTATTTCTTTCTCTCTTTCTTTGTGTTGCCTCTCCCGCTCTGTCTCTCTGTCTCTGTCTCTCTCGCTCTCTCTCGCTCTCTCTCGCTCTCTCTCTGGAACACTTCGGCAGCAAAACCTGCGAATGGCTTGCCGTGGCCAGCAATGCGAATATGGCCGCGGCCAGATGCCGGAAGTGCGTGTGTAAACTGCATGGCTAAAATGAGCGTCGCCCGCATCTCTGCGGTTCGCCATGGCGTCTGCCACGCGACGCTTTTGGCTTGGTAGGCTTCCGCGTCCGCGAGTTAGCGCACCCGGCCCAAACTCGACGCAGGCCCGAAGGCGCCGAAGGCCCGTTGCCCGGCTCGTGGTCCAAAAGCAAGCTCTCAGTTCGCGTTGGGGTCCCGGGATCCAGAATTTGGTGTCGGCACCCGATTGTGTTTTGCCTCAAAGGCAAAAACACATCAGGTTGCATGCAGCACTCCCTGGAGTCGAGTCGACAAGCCAAAGAGGGGTTGACGGATTGCCCCTGCCTACAGCCAGCGGCTTTACGGAAACTCAGTTTCTTTTGCGGTTGGCTGCAGTCGTGAAAATTGGCTGTCGTGAGGTGCCTGGCCAGATCAAGCCGCCGGTGAACATGCTGGACCAGTGCGGCCGCGGGTTCCGCAAATTCTTGCGCCGTTGACAAACAACTTTGGCGAGTTGCGCTGCTCATGGGTGTCCATGTCCATGTCTTCATTCTGCGCAGTTTGCCTCAAACCACTGAGAAGGATGCGAATCACATTTAGTCAGGAGAGCCCATCTAGCCAGGAAGGGTCCATCCATGTGCATGCTTCCGATGATAGTGCAACCAAAGATGGCCGTCAGAATGGGTGCCCATCCAATGTTACCCTGCGCAATCGGATGGGGTTACTGCATTTTTCTGGCAGTTGGAGAAGCGAAGCTGAGAATTTCAGACGCTGGTGCCATGCATTGCTCGCTCGCTGGCGCATGGATGGCCGGGCTCCTTTTTGGATGCTGGTCGCTTGAGCTTTTCTCGAGGCTCTGCCGGCTTGACCCTGGCGGCGCGCTTCATCGCAGGCACTTCGCGATATAGCTGTCGGCGTCGAATTGCTTCTGCGGGTCGAAAATAGGCTAACCCCAAAATGGGTTGCCCTTGTAAATGGAACCGAGGACTAAAACCTGCGGTCCCCTGGTGCTTATTTTTGACCCGCACCTCTATGAGGGTTTTGGGTGTGTGAACGGATGCCGCCATGCCCGGGCGCAGAGATGTGAACCTTTCTGCTTGCGGATTTGACATTTGGAGTTGGTGAGGCCATTGAAGGGAATGGAAGCCTTCAGGCACAATAAGTGGCAGTCATTTTAACAATCTGGGCTTGTGAATAAACCACGACGTTCATCACAGCGGTATGAAACGTTGTTCGTGACAGCCATCTGAGCAGCTAACGTTTGATTGACTGTTGGCACTTCAGCTCGCCGCAGGTCGTGCAGAGGCCGAGGCCGAATTGAATAAATCAGGACTTGGGCCTCTTGTGTCACAGGCCGGGCTTTGCATGTGAGCCACAATCAAAACTCGGGTAGATGAAGGTTAGGGACAATCCGCGGAATTCCGCCTTCTTAATTCTTGAAGCATGGTTCTGGGATTACGACCATTTCAATACCGGGTTTTGAGCAAGTGACTTTGCTTGTTTCTTCCATGGGATTTTGCTGAGGTCCTTGTCGCTGCAGAGCGTGGCCTCATCTCAGATGTGAGTGCAGCAGTGTTTCGGCTGGCCCGGAGCTGCTTGTTGCTGCCCTTGGCCCCACACATGGCAGAGGCTGGCGCGATTGGGATGTCAACTTGGGCAGTTTTCAGCATGGCCCCAAGTTTGGATCAGGCTTGGTTCTTGAGGGATCTGGGGAAACCACCAAGCCCCAAGCCGTCCGAATCCAAGCATCACGAAGGAGAAAGCTGACAGTTGGCACATGTGACACATGTGAATTGCGGGACCGCAGGTGGCGGCGGCGGCCTGCGCCTGCATCGCCGGCTTGGCCGAGGAGGAGTTCCAGTCGCGTGAAGCTCAGCGTGAATGGCGACCTCCTTGCTCTAGGCTGAGGCATCCAGCCACATCTTGCGGGTCTTGGAGGAAAGGGAGGGAAGGGCTATGTTGGGCTATGTTGGGCTATGTTGGGCTATGTTGGGCTATGTTGGGCTATGGATGTTTTCAGAGAATGTCGCAGGAGCTCGCCAGAGACATCGCGATCTTCCAAGCTTTTGCCTACAGCTTCCTCTGGCGCACGGGGTTTGGAACTGGGGAAGGCAAGCTGGGGCGAAACGAAGGCGAAGGTGAAGAGGTGAACAGGTGAAAAGGTTCTGCTCGAAAGTTGTTGCTAGTTTTTCAACTCATACCTGCGTAACGCCCCCATACTGACATGCAGGCCGTGATGCTTTGACTACCCAGATGCAGGCCCTGCCAGAGAGTGCCTTTTGGGGATCATCATGCAACCGCTGCAGGTGTCGCTGGCCTCCGCTTTCGTTTGGCTGCTGATTTCCTTTGGTCGCTCTGTGGGGTACCGCCGCGCAGCTGAAACATGGCGCTGCCGAGTGAACTGTTGCTTGCCCAAGGTCGCTTGGATGCGGCTACTTTGTGGGCATGGACCAATGGCGATGCCTTGTACGCGTGCTTGCTGGCCAGAAGTGTATTGATGCTCCGTGAGTGCCTTTGCATTATTTTCTCATTGGTTCTTAGTTGCCCGGCACGTGAAAGGGGGGGATTGGATCCGCACACACCTGCCACGCCCAGGTTGGCGAGTTCGGCCGCCCATGAGCTGCTGGTCCCGCCAGACCTGGGTGCCCTCAAACCGGCTGAGCGTCGTTGCGCCGCATTTTGGGCGGAGGTCTCCTGGAGCAAGCCGTGGTGCGGGCGGTGCTGGGCCTCGCCGGCCTGGGCCTCGGTGAAGCGCCCGCGAAGTGTCTCCCGCGGCCGTCCGAGGCCCCGACGTCGCTTTCGCCGGCGTCCAAGCGGAGGCGCCTCGCTCGCGGGGTCGCGGGGTCGCGGGGTCTGGCCCAGGGGAGCTTTGCAGGTGAGGTCTCCGCGGGGATGCCTGGTGCGGCATTGGGCGCGGCTGGCCATCGCGGTCTGCGAGACTGGCCTGACGCCTGCGCTGTTGGATGCTCCAGGCCTGGGCAAAGACAAGAGAAGCACAGCCACAAAACCCGCGCTCTCCAGGTGCGCGACTGGCCAGCTTTTGCGCGAGGCTGCTCAACGAGGCACGGATATGGCCACGAAGCGTGTGACGACTTCGAAGCCCAGGACGCCTGCGCTGCCGAGGAGGTTGGCAAAGCGCCCTCCTTCTTAGTGCTCCCAGCTGATGCGAAGGCCTCGCGCATGGCAGCTGCCATGTTTCGGGACGTCTTGGCGCAGTGCAGCGACAAGCTGCTGAGCTGAGTTCCCTTGCCCCTTGTGAGATGTTCCTGCTGTAACTTGCCTGAAATGAGCGGCCCTTGAGGTTCTGGAGACTCTTACGTGCTGTGCCCCTCGAAGCAAGGCCTCGCACCAAGCCTCAGATCCGGCCATTCGTGTTTGAAGTGCCTTTGCTTAGGCAGCGGAGCTTCCTCCGCGACTGCTGGAGCCACACGCGTCGCGTCGCGTTTGCCATGTTTGGGACGCTCCAAGGCGCTGCGCTGGCGCTGGCGCTGCCGGGATCCACGGAATGCGCCGCACTGCTCGAGGAGACCGTGCAGGCCGCAGGCTCCGCGGCTCTGCCGGGGCTGTGCTGCGTAGCCAGCAATGCGCAGCTGGGGCCCACGGAGGTGAGGGATGAAACGCTGGAGGACATGAGCATCTTATGGCCTGGGCATGAGAACGGGCTGAGGGCATGAAACCGGGCTTCCTCGACCACGGGAGCACATCTGGATATTGAATGACATGGGCACATGCTGAGTGAACGGATGCGACGTAGGTGCCTCAGCTGTCCCACGTGCTGATGGGCTTGACGGCGCAGGCGCGGGCTGCACTTGTCGCGCAGCGGACAAGTCGCAAGTCCCAACGGCAGGAGAAGCGTGTGGTGGCGTCGCAGCTGGAGAAGTGGACTTTGAGACGGGATTCGGCCGGCGGCCCAGTTTGGAGGTGACCTGTGCAACCAGAAGCACTCTCTTGGGAGAAGGGTTTTCCCTTGAACCCCCAAAAAGCTGCAACCACTTGCAGAGGGGTGTTTCCTGAAACCAAACTCTACTTTACACATGGGTATGGGTCAAAATGAAACAACCATGGGACCGCAGGTTTTGGTCCATGTCTCCATTTACCAGGGCAAGCCATTTTGGGTACATAGCCACATCGAGGCGGCCTGGGGCTCTTTGCTGCGTGATGAGCCGGTTGAGACCTCGCCCGTGGCGCCATCACCGCCTCCGACACCGCTGGATCCGTCCCAGCGCAAGGAGTTGGCGGTGGGGGGTCTGGAGGCTCTCTTGGTGGATGCTCCGCCTGAGCTGCGCCGTGGTGTGCAGCTTGGGTTCGCGCGGTGAGAGTTGAGACCACTTTGCTCAAAGATGAAATCCACGTTGCTTGGAGCGCCACGTTTCACGCGCGCCACGCGTTGTTTTGTGGGTGTCATTCTACGGCTGACATGGATGGAATCGCGCTTCCGGCTCCGAGGTGCTGTTCTTTGGATCATCGGCTCGTTGCGGATCCCGTTCGCTCGCCCTACGGCCACGTCTTCGACTCTGCCTCTTTGGCCTGCTGGTTGGCGCGGCCGCGGGGCTGAACATGGCAGTGCTGGGCCCATCGCTCAGCTGCGCTGTTTTGACAGCTGAGGAACGAGCGCTGTCCCCACACCGGCCACCCTCTCGCCCTGGAGATGTGTACCAGAGAGGACCAGCTGCGACGCGCCAGAGCTGCATGCGCGGGTGCGTTCTATCAGGCGCACGCCTGCCCATGATGCCAATGCTCGGTACATGAGGCTTGTCCCTGGACTACGTCAAACGCTGGGCTCGTGGCCTTCCGCCATAGAAATGCGAGCCATGTGCCGGAGTGCAATTTGCCTAGCTTGACACCTGCCGCCATTTCAGCTCAGGCTTCATTGTGTTAGCTCCGTGTAAACCCTCAGCTCGCTGGGTTGCTTGAATGAGACCAATTGAGGCATTCCCCTCATCAAGCGAGAGGTTTATCCTGTGACCTTTTGCCTTGCGTGGGCAATGGCCTAGCGTTGGTTCAGCCATGCAGGACAGCCGGCCAGTCGGCAAAGCCCTGGGCGGGATCAAGAAAAAGTTCCCGAGGGCTCCCTGAAGCCTAGAGAAGGCCAAGCAACGCAGCTCTCAACGCACCCCCTGGCCGCCGGTGGTTTGTCCATGGGTTTGGCTTGTTGGCTCTTCAGGACGAACGAGAAAGGGCGACAACCCCAGCTCCTTCCGAGTGCTTGGTCAGCTGGGAGTTTGGACGGTGGTTTTGGGGTGCCGCGAGACGGCAACGCGAGGTGGAACACAAGCTGTGCCATTTTTGAGGCTGCTGCACTGCAGCGGTTCCTGCAGTGGCAGCAGGCGTCAGGCGCACCAGTCCCAGGCGGAGATCTGCTGGTCTGGACCTCGATGCGAGTCTGTGCTCCAGCGCGTGTGAGAAGCGACCTGGCCTTTGCCCGCCCGGCTCAAGTCAGGTAACCATGCAAAGAGTTCAGAATTTTTAGAATCCTGACATGGCCATGCAATGACCCTTTTTGGTTGTGGACACTGTGTGTGGCGTCGTCGCATGCTTCGCACTTCAGATGGCTTGGGATTTTCCTGTGATGGAAGGCGCGTTGCCTGTGCACTGCATCGAACTCAAGCCGTGTCACCGTACATGCCCCTGTGCAAAGGCAAAAGGAGTGAGCAGCTTCATGGCAAGACGTGCACAGAAGCAGATCACTGGAGTGGCGAAAATTTTCCCTGCGACAGAAGTTTTGCCCAGACCAAGGTATCAGGTACTGGGAGATGACGTGGAAGCGCTCAGCGGCAACATTGTTGACACACTTTGCCCGGCAGACGCCTTGACCTTGGATCCCAGTGTGGTGCACAGTGCAGTTGCCGCTGGAAGCTGCAGGTTGCCGATCCAAGCTGCGGCGGTGCTCTCTTCGATGTGCCCCGACTTTCTGCCCTTTGCGCTGAATGGTGAGCTGCCGTGGCTTTGAGGCAATGCAGTCGCGCAAATGTGGACGCCTTCTTGTGGGAATCCGTGGTGAGAGCCTTCGCCCGCGTCGAGTGGTGGCGTCGAGCTTTGGAGACCCGGGCCCTGTTGCAAAATCAAGTCCCGGCAGCAGAATTTTCGGTCTGGAATTGAAAGCTCTCTGGGAATGTGCAGCCAGGAGCTTCTGTCGACCATGAGCTCTTCATCTCCAGAGGGGGCTGCGGACTTCGTGAATTCCGGACGCGTTCGTGTCGCGTGCCGGCACCTCGGCACCCGCTCTCAGGTCGGCCGCAATGCTGCCCTCGCCGCCTGCGCGCGGGCGGCAGCTTGGGAGCACGCGCTGCGCCTGGCGGCTTCGGGCTGTCGGGGCACCAGCGCCACAGTACGAGGCGCGGTGCTGAGATGCAGCGCAAGCAGCGTGCCCAGCACAGGATTTACCCGGGATTCTGGCAATGAACCGGAAGTTCCGGGAGTAGCAAGGAATGAATGGATGGGTTTTCTCGGGGAATGACCCCCCAATTCCATGTCTCATTCCCTGCAAGAAAATCGAAGCAGCAAAGGCGCACAACCCATGTCAAGCGGCGCCCAGGCTACAACATGACCATTTCCGCGGTGGGGAAGATTTCCTGGCGCGCTGCGTTGGGCCTTTTCCTTTCCATGCGCCAGCGCAGGCCAGATGTGCTTGGCTGGCATGCTCTGCACACATTTTTGTGTCCAGACGCTCCAGACGCTTCGCCCAGGCTGCCGCCAAATATTATTTCATATAATGCGGCAAGCAGCGCGTGTGTTCAAGGCCTGGGTAGCCTTCCGACCTTGCAAGAAGCTGTTGGTCCGTTTTCTACCTCAGCTGCGAGGGCAAGTGCTCGCTGCATTTGGCTGCAGGGCACGGGGAGGGGCGCGCAAACGGAGAATACGGTCGTGCCCCGCGGAAATGTTTGCCAGTGTCCCGAAGAGTCTTGAGAATTTTCATGGCAGTATTGGGTATCCGTTTTGAGTGTCCAGCCATGACGGAGGAAGCCATGGAAGCAGAGGACCTCGATGTCGACGGCGATGTCGGCGATGACCCCGATGAGGTGCGGGCGGCCTTGGGCGGCGTGGCCTCTGGCCTGGCCGAGCAGCTCACCACCATCACGCAGGAGATGAACAAGATCCGCGAGGAGCTCTACGGCGACAACGGCATCGGAGGCATCGCGCAGGAGCTGGAGAAGCTGAAGTCCGGCAGCCTCGCCGGGCTCGACGCGGGGCCGGAGCCGGAGGCGGCGGCTCCGGGGCTCCGGAGTCGGGGCTCCGGAGCCGAGAAGCCCACGAGCCTGGAGAAGGAGAGGCGCCTGGACGAGCTGAGGCGCAAGATCGAGCAGCGCCACCTTTATGACGACAGAAAGAAAGAGAAGGTGGGCATGCTGGAGTGGCTGGTGGTGATCTTTGTGATCATGATGATGGCCTACACTGCCTCGCCCTCCTTCCGGACCTACGTGAAGCAGTTCCTGGGCGAGATGGTCTTTGGGGAAGTTGCTGCTGTCGAGGGAGAGGTCGACTTTGGTGCCGTGGTGGAGGAAGATATGGACTCCTTCTTTTGACGATGCATGCCTGCGCCCGCGTGGGTCAAAATCGGACTGAACGCAGCGCAGAGAAAGCAGGAGAAAAACACGCGTCGCGCAACTGCAAACCAAGGGCATTCGCTGCAGTTTCGTCCCATCTGCCGCCAGTAGACTCGGTGTGTCAGGCGGGGCCTGGCAGATCTCGCTGTGGCTCTTCTTCAACCTGGACGCCAACCTGGTCCCCAATCAGGGCAGATGCTTTGTTGCACTCAAGTCTCCCTTTGGTGGCAACCGCCGCATTCGTTTTTGCGCAAGCGTAGCGGCTTGGTTTTGTTTGTGTAGCGAGCCAGGCTACAGCGTGGCGATCAGCGCCGCCGGCTCCGCGCACCACTGGCAGCTGGCCGAGCCTCGGCGCATATCGCCGGATCGACGGAACGACGGAACGACTCCGGCCTCGGATCCCAGGTCGCGTTATTGGGATCCCACGGGCCCAGCGCAATCAGTGTGGGCGCCGCAATGTAGCTTGGCACTCGGAGAAGCAGAAGACATGGTGCTGCATGTTGCCTTTGTTGGAAGGGCCAAAGGGAGCATCGCGTAGTGAACCTCTGTGAAGATATCGATTTTCGCCCGCTGGAAGGTCAGCATGCGAAAGGGCACTTCAGTGGCAGTCTGCTCTTGAGATATTCCGTGCCTTAGCTCTGGACCGGTGCCTTGCAGCTGTCATTTGGAGCGGTGCCTTGCAGCTCAGCTTGTTGCGTCTGAGGCACTTGGGCCAGCGCTGACCGCGTGGTTTGCCTCGTGGCCATCACTGCGTGCCAAAGAAGCGCCAGGCGAACTGATCCCACCAGACCGTACGCGTCTTTGCACGTCTCAGGTGGCAGGCAGCGCTGGGCCTCATCAAGGAGGCCAGAGAGGCCTGCACGTCCATGGCCGATGGCTCCTATGCATTTGGACCAATTTGGATTGGGAAGGGCAACCAGCTGGACGTGAGCTGCTTGAATGCCGCCATCAGCGCCTGCGCCCAGAGCGGCGAGTGGCAACATGCCTTGGCGCTGATGGCAAGCACGTCCCCCCAAGCCAAGTTGGACATGGCAGGGGCAGAACTAGACCGGTTCAGCCTGCCTGACGCCAGGGACAGCCCAGACGGCATCTCCTACAATGCCACCCTCACGGCTCTGAGCAAAGGCTCGGCCTGGCTCTTGCAGCGGCCTTGGGGCCTGGATCTTTTTGCCGCAGGCGGTCTCTGGCGACCAGCTCTTCGACTGCTCCACGTCCGCCCGAGGCCGGATGTGGTCTCCTTCAGCGCCGCCATTGCCGCCTGCAGCCGCGAAGGCCGGCACGGATTCGAAGAAATGGGTGTGGGTGAAAATTGAGCCACTCACTGGACTGCAGGTTTCAGTCCATGTTTCCATTTACTAAGGTTCCATTTTGGGGTTAGCCGATTCTTGACCCAAAGCCCAATGCTGCCAAACGGCAGGTGAATGGCAGCGGGTGGTGGACCTGCTGGGCCGCATGCACGACCGCGCCCTCCGCCCCAGCGCCTGGACCTTCAACGGGCTCGCGGCCGCGTGCGCGAAGGCCGCGAAGTGGCAGGTGGCCTTGGGCCTCGCGGCTTTCGGCACCGACGCCACCAGCGGCTCGGACTGCTCCGACACGCGACGGGTTTTGGTGATGCGAGCGGGTGATTTTTTTTTCGAATGCGTCCGAGGTCGGAAGCTGATCGCCGCGCTCCGTGAGAGGTCCGGCGAAATCGGATCACTCAGGTTGGCATTCGAGACCAAGGAGCAGGAGGCGGGGGGCCCATGGCTTCGGGCGAGGCTGGTGCTCTCTGAGCTCCGAGGTACGCCGAGCACGACGCACGCTGCACCCATCGCTTTCGAACATGGAGGTCATTGCTGCTCGGACACGTGGGGCGAAGTCTTGGGCGGTGTGTAGGGAAGGCGGAAGGCGCAGTGAGCATGGGCATGGAGTTTGTCAGACGAAAGCATCAAGCGCTTGAGCACGCGTTGCCTTGCACGCCAGAGACCCGCATGCAAGGACGCCGATGACTTGGATTTGGTCTGGCAGTCCGTGGTTCGCGAAATGATCCAAGAGTGCGGACAAAAGTGTCCCTGTGCTTCCGGGCTGCCTTGCGATTTGCGATTTGGGAGTGACGTCCATGTTGGCACCAAGCCCAAGGCCCAAATGGTCCGGAAGCCGGAAGCTCGCGCAGGTGCCGTGCCAAAAGCCTAGGCTCAATGCCCGGTGCGCTCGCAAGGCGGGACCTCGACAGCTCCAGTTCCGGGACAGACGCGGACCTCGCAAGGGCCCTGACAGCCGGACTGCCAGCGCGCATGTGACACATGTTCAAAAATACAGCAATGCCATCATGCCATGCCCATATATGTCTTCGCTCAGTTGGTGGGTGTCCGCCTGCAATCAGAAGCCGGTCGCATGGTTTGAGCATGGCATGCCCTGCGCACGCGCATGCACAACCTTCAGCCGCAGTTTGGCACGAGCCCGGCCGTTGGGGACCTGGCGATTTGCCAGGGGCCTCCAGCAGCACAGCTGCAGACTAGCCTCCGGCTTGTGGATTTTTTTGTGTGGCAATCGCGACGGCAGGCGGATGGATGGCCTTGGCGGTGCGCCGATAGGCCTCGGCAGACAATTATTGAGTCGGTTTGTTGCCTTTTGCCCTTTTGCTTTCCGTGACTTGCCAGGCTCCGACCCGCCCATGGGCGGGAAGGGCAACATGGGCGGCATGGGCATGGGGGGCTGCGGGTGCGGTGGCTGCCCCGGCTGCGGTGGCTGTGGTGGCTGCAGCGGCTGCGGCTGCGGCGGTTGCGGCTGTGGCTGCGGCTGCGGCTGCGGCTGCGGCGGCTGTGCGTGTGGCGGCTGCGGCTGTGGAGGGTGCGGCATGGGTGGCATGCCTGGGGGCGGCATGGGCACCGGCTGCACCGGCTGCATGGGGAAGGGTTGTGGGATGGCCGGCAGCATGCCCAATATGGGCATGGGCGGCATGGCAGGCCCTGGAGGAAGCATGGGAGCCATGGGCAGCAACATGGGCACCATGGGAGGCATGGGCAGCCCAATGATGGGTGGCATGGGTGGGGGCATGGGCGGCGGAATGGGCGGAGGGATGGGTGGGGGGATGGGGAATGGAATGATGGGGATGGGCGGCATGAATCCCATGATGGTCGCAGCCTCAGTGGCCGATGTTTTTGGTCGGAATCCACCATCCTCCGAGGCCATGATGGGCATGATGATGGGTATGCAAGCTGCCGTGCAGGCTGGTGGCGACTCAGTTGTCGATGCAACTCCCACGATCAAGTCTGAAGACAAGCATGCAACTTGTCTGCCCATGGCGTTTGCAACGCGAATGCTCCTTTTTTGCTGATGCCTTGGGCCGCAGAAAGCAAGGTAGATCCTCGAGTCAAAGCGATATGCAATGACTTTGGCATCAGCGGTGACACTGTCATGAGGCTTGCCATGGCTTCCTTTTCGTGCACATTGCCCTGCTTTGCGGGTGCAAAAAGAAGTTGACGTCTGTCAGGCTGAATGATGCCATGCGAGAACGCGAAGACTATGATGAGGATTTACAGGCTCTCCACAAGCTTATGGAGCGGGCCACCAAGGAGCCGAACAGGTGTAATAGGCAACAGGTGTAATAGCCGAACAGGCGTGACGGCAATGCAAGATGTTGGGATTCTGTCAAGAGTGGCTCCGGGCGCATGCAATCCATAGGACGGCAAGAAGCCGCTCGAAGTGATGCTTGCACAGATCCGTGCCATCCGCGCGAACCGGTTCCCAGGGAAGGACGGGTGGACGGGTGCAAGGTGTACTGCAGGGTGAGTGACGCAAAATGTCAGAGCACAACATTTCGCGACGGAGTCGAGCATTTAGATTTTAGAGCATTGCTGATAACGTATGCTTACAAGGTAGGCCACAAGGCCTGCATTTTCCAGCTTCTCCTGTCATATGCGCATGGCACAGGCCCAAGTAATGATCAATTTCATGCAGGGCGCTCCTTGACAAATGCTGTGAACTCCAAGTTGGTTGCAAGTTTCCAGGGTGTGGGGGTGGCCTGTTTCTCATGGCCATGTTCTTGGTTTTGCTGAACCAACTTCTCCCAAACCAAAACCCGGCCCAGGGCCCCCCCAAACATCGGAAACGCTTCGCCCAAACGCTTTGCCAGGAGCTCCTGGAGCCGGACATCTGGGACTTCATCGTGCGGTATAATTTGGACGACCGCGTGATGAATCGGCTCATCGACACGCTGAACAAGCGGAAGGGCAAGGCCAAGGAGACCTTGCAGGCGAAGGGTTCGAAGCGAAGGGGGCGAAGGGGATGGGGAGGGTGAGTGCATTTGGCCAAGGGATTTTAGGACTGAATAACTTCTTGCCAACTAGTGGGTGTTCCATTAAACCACTAAAAGTTATTCACTTTTAGCAGGGGAGCAGAAAGCCACCGGGACGAGGTGGGGGCGAATCAATCCATGGCTTTTGAGTAGAAAACGAAAGAAAAGCGCGGGGTCCGTGGCAAAATGAGACTTCAGACTTCGTAGAGAGAGGCCTTGAATGACCGTCTTGGAAATGCACAGCAGCCAACTGGTCTCGGGCTTCTGGCTCAAGCCTCAGGAATGGTCTCGAGAGAGGGAGGGGAAACAGAAAGAGCAGGGTCCACTCCGGTTGCCCAGGTCCGCCTATTAGAGGGCCTGGACGAGCACGGCCCTCAGCTCGGGAAACGAGCTCTGCAAGATGCTTCTGTTCGCCTAGGACGGGCAGGCTACCTTCGCCACCTAGACGCCTGGGTGGATCTGGTACTTTCCGCTGGTGGCTCAGTGGGGATGTGCAAGGGGAAGATTTGGCTGTGGGTCAAAACCACAGGTACCATTTTGGGGTAGGTGAATTCACCACCCATTTTAGAACCTATTTCAGTGGGGATTGGGATGTTGACTGGGGGTATGGGCTTTTGACCCATGGCCATTTGAGCTTGCAAAGCTTGAGGACCCACGGGCACTTTCCTGCACCCGGCTGACCGGCGCCTTGCCAAAGAGTTTGTAGGACTTGCGCCATCCGAGTTCCGAAAAAGTTTTCCGCCCGGGGAGCTGCGGCTCAGGGCTCGTGAAGCCCGTGAACGAGGCGAACGAGGCGAACGGGGGGAAAGAGCTGAGAAAGGTGAACGCGAGCAGGAAAGAAGCCCGCAGCTCAAATTCTTGGCTGCCAGCAACTGGTTCAAACATCAAATTCTTGGCCAAGCGTCAACGTGCCAAGGCAGCCGGCGATCTGAGCGGCGATCCCGTTCGCGGGGCCGCGACTCACAGCGCTCGCGCTCGCGGCGCCGATGACGCGAAGTGGTGGAAATGGCAAAAGGGCTGCGCGCGGCACGCGCGTGTCAGCCAAGCGAGCCTTGACCGGAAGCTTGCGGCGCAAAGGCCAGAGGAGCCGCAGAAGTCCCCACAGGCTGGGGGGGTACCTTATGCAGTTTGCACATTCAAGCCAGCAGCACGTTGGACAACACTTTGCAGGAACAAGCGTGCGTGGAACACATAGATGCACAGACAAAGATACCTATGCAAAGGCACGCACGCACAATCATGCGCACAGAAGGCACGAAAACACGAACACGAACATGAGCACGAGCACACACCCACACAGACAGACAGACGGACAGACAGAGAGACAGACCGACAGACCGAGAGACTCACTCACTCCACTCCACTCCACTCCACTCCACTCCACTCCACTCCACTCCACTCCACTCCACTCCACTCCACTCCACTCCACTCCACTCCACTCCACTCCTCTCCACTCCACTCCACTCCACTCCACTCCACTCCACTCCACTCCACTCCACTCCACTCCACTCCGCTCCACTCCACTCCACTCCACTCCACTCCACTCCACTCCACTCCACTCCACTCAACTCCACTCCACTCCACTCCACTCCACTCCACTCCACTCCACTCCACTCCACTCCACTCCACTCCACTCCACTCCACTCCACTCCACTCCACTCCACGCCACTCCACTCCACTCCACTCCACTCCACTCCACTCCACTCCACTCCACGCCACTCCACTCCACTCCACTCCACTCCCCTCCACTCCACTCCACTCCACTCCACTCCACTCCACTCCACTCCACTCCACTCCACTCCACTCCACTCCACTCCACTCCACTCCACTCCACTCCACTCCACTCCACTCCACTCCACTCCACTCACTCCACTCCACTCCACTCCACTCCACTCCACTCCACTCCACTCCACTCCACTCCACTCCACTCCACTCTACTCCACTCCACTCCACTCCACTCCACTCCACTCCACTCCACTCCACTCCACTCCACTCCACTCCACTCCACTCCACTCCACTCCACTCCACTCCTCTCAACTCCACTCCACTCCACTCCACTCCACTCCACTCCACTCCACTCCACTCCACTCCACTCCACTCCACTCCACTCCACTCCACTCCACTCACTCACTCACTCACTCCACTCACTCACTCACTCACTCACTCACTCACTCACTCACTCACTCACTCACTCACTCACTCACTCACTCACTCACTCACTCTCTCACGCACGCACACATGCACGCACGCGCTCGCTCCCTCACGCACGCACGCACTCACTCACTCACCTCACCTCACCTCACTTCACTTCACTTCACTTCACTCCGCTCACTCCCTCGCTCACTCCCTCGCTCACTCCCTCGCTCACTCCCTCACTCACTCCCTCGCTCACTCCCTCGCTCACTCCCTCACTCCCTCGCTCACTCCCTCACTCCCTCACTCACTCACTCACTCACTCAGTCACTCACTCACTCACTCACTCACTCACTCACTCACTCACTCACTCACTCTCTCTCTCTCTCTCTCTCACTCCTCTCACTCCTCTCACTCCTCTCACTCCTCTCACTCCTCTCACTCCACTCACTCCACTCACTCCACTCACTCCACTCACTCCACTCACTCCACTCACTCCACTCACTCCACTCCCTCCACTCACTCCACTCACTCCACTCACTCCACTCACTCCACTCACTCCACTCACTCCACTCACTCCACTCACTCCACTCACTCCACTCACTCCACTCACTCCCACTCACTCCACTCACTCCACTCACTCCACTCACTCCACTCACTCCACTCACTCCACTCACTCCACTCACTCCACTCACTCCACTCACTCCACTCACTCCACTCACTCCACTCACTCCACTCACTCCACCCACTCCACTCACTCCACTCACCTCACTCGCCTCACTCCACTCCACTCCACTCCACTCCACTCCACCCCACTCCACTCCACTCCACTCCGAGAAAACAGAAAAAACCAAAAAACCCTTTAGGCAACACCCACAAGAACAAACACCAACGTAGATAACAAAGCAAAAAAACACGGACCCAAACACCCTATAAATAAAATAAAAAAAATACATGGAAACAACCACAGGACACCATGCAACCAACACAGGATATTTAAGACCAGACCGTCACCCCACACCACTCCACTCCACTCCACTCCACTCCACTCCACTCCACTCCACTCCACTCCACTCCACTCCACACCACTCCACTCCACTCCACTCCACTCCACTCCACACCACTCCACTCCACTCCACTCCACTCCACTCCACTCCACTCCACTCCACTCCACTCCACTCCACTCCACTCCACTCCACTCCACTCCACCCCACCCCACCCCACCCCACCCCACCCCACCCCACCCCACCCCACTCCACTCCACTCCACTCCACTCCACTCCACTCCACTCCACTCCACTCCACTCCACTCCACTCCACTCCACTCCACTCCACTCCACTCCACTCACTCTGTCTCTCTCACTCTCACTCTCACTCTCACTCTCACTGACTCTCACATACTCTCACTCACTCACTCACTCTCACTCACTCTCACTCACTCTCGCTCTGTCACTCACCTCACCCATAAACTCACCTCACTCATAAACTCACCTCACCTCACCTCACTTCACCTCACCTCACCTCACCTCACCTCACCTCACCTCACCTCACCTCACTCACTCACACACGCACTGTTAAAACCCTCTAGGCCCCGTGCCTAAATTGGGAAGCTGTTCTGAGGTCCGTGTTGGTGTTGCTTTCCAAGTTCCATTGATCGCCATTTGGCTCAAGACACAACTGAGGTTCAAGATCTGATGTGTAGCTGCAATCATACGTGATCGGCATTGAGAGCGGAAAACACTTCGCTTGCGCTGCATTCGTCAGGACCACTGTTGTAACTATCATTCCTTTCCCCTTACAACGTTTACACGGGTTCGGCTATAACGGCATCGTCCGTATACACCTTTCCACGTGGTTGGTATTACAGCTGAGGGTTCGGTGCATAGCGTCCCACGGGACGTCACCTTGCCGTCTCTTGACAGGTTATCAGCCGTAACTACAAGCTCTACACTGGACTGGGAGACAGCTGGTTTATTGCGGGTACAGGGACAATAAAGGAACGATAACCTACACAGTACAATGGCATCTTCAGCGAGCCCAAGTACTGCAACTTTTGGGAACAGCAGCTCAGAGGGATCCAATGGATTGATGGCTCTTCCTGCGGTGATGGATATGATCGCAGATTCACAGGATGAACCTGGGAGCGGAGGTTCCGCGCTATTCAGCGACATATCCACTCCCACAAGATCATGGAAGCAGATCGATGTTCATCAGGAGTCGAAACAAAGAGAATCCCCACCGAGAAGATCATCATCTTCGCCTGCGACACCACGGACGTCGCAGAAGGGCGTGAGATCGACATCGAAGGGTGGGAGGTCAAAGTCACCCACCAGTGCGGAGTTTCGCGCCGCGATCAAGGAAAAGAACAAGATGGAGGTGGAGATCGGGGAATACCAAAAGACACTTGATGAAATGTCGGCAGCAATGGCGAATCTTCGTCAAGAAGACTATGGAAGCACCATCCGGATCCAGGAGCTGGAAAGACGATGCGAGATTGCCAGCAAGCAGTCGGGACATATAGTGAGTCACCACCAACACCACATGGCTGAGGCATGGCGCAAGTTTGAGGAAGAAGCCCAACAGATGCGCAAGGTGGAAATGAACGCATTTCAGTACGGGGAAAAGAAAGACATGGAGTCGAATATTATAATGCAACAGATGAGACAAGCTGAAGGAACTATCATGGAGCAGAAGCGGGAGATTGCATTGATGAAATCCTACATGGCAAGCGAGAAGTCGGCCGCGCAGGAATCAGCTATACGTGCAAATCAGATACACCGTGAAGCTTCACAGCAGATATCAGTTTATCAGCAACAAATCAGAGGCATCGAATCGTCTACATCTATCGAGAAGTTCAACGAGGAGGAGATGGTCCAAAGTCTGAAATCACACGTCAAGCGCCCCGAGACGTACTCTATGGAGGACTCCAGGGAACAGCTGATGGCGAGACTGAATGACGTTAGAGTATTTGCGGAACAAGAATCAAAGAGAGCAGATTGCTTGCTTCGCGAGAAGGAAGAGATCGTCAAACAGTATGAATCCGACGTGTCGATGAAGGACCAGATGATTGCTGTCGAAGGCGGTCATCGTCAAGATGCGATCTTGGAGTTGGCCCAGGTCAAAGAAGCAAAACAAGAAGAACGGTGCACGATGGACGAGAAGTCGAAGGAGGCTGAGTACTGGAGATTGACAGCTAAGGGAATGTACGATGAGTACCTCGAAGAGATGCATGAGCTTCAGGGACAACTGAAGGAAAGGGAGGCGACGCTCAAGCAAGAAGAGAGTTTTGTTCGTCAACTCGATGCTGACAACGAGGAACTGCGTGCACACAAGAAGCTGGAGACACAGGAAGCCTCCAGCAGCAAAGATGGACATCGTGAACGAGCAGTAGTGAAACGCGCTGAGGGAGGAACCCAGGCTAATTCAAATAGGATAGACAAGAAGGTGGCTGGGTTAGTCCCGTCATCGTCTTCAAATCAAATCCCTAAGTCGTCGCTGATGCCAGGTTCGATCCTCTTTCCGTCTTTCGGTGATCCAATGATCGATGTACACCTATCCCAGATGCAAGGGGTTGTTGGGCATGTCCCACAATCCACTACTACGACTGGTGGTGGTGATGGAGGGGGAAACAACGGTACTACGCCCCCATTGGATTACGGTGGATTCTCGCCTAATGGAAATAGGCGGGGAGCAAATCGACGTCAGTTAAGCCTCACAGGTGGCGGAGGAGGACCTCCGGATGACCCACCCGACGATGAAGACGGGGACGACGACGACGAAGAGGACGAAGAAGACGAGGAAGAAGAAGAGGAAGAAGATGACAATCGGACACGGAGGAGACGAAGAAGATCGAGAGAT